TCCCGGGTCTCCTCGTAAGTCGCCCCGTCGTTCTTGTCCGCGGGGCGCAGCAGCAGCGAGTCCAGCACGGAGCTGAAGGCGAACATGCTGTGGGGGCGGGGAAGGTCAGAACTCCTGGGTTCTATCCCTGGCTCTGGGAGGGGAGTGGGGGCTAGTGGTTAGAGCAGGGGGCTGGGAGCCAGGATTCCTGGGTTCTCTCCCCAGCTCCGGGAGGGGAGGGGGTTCTAGTGGGTTCTCTCCCTGGCTCTGGGCGGGGAGCGGGGTCTAGTGGGTTAGAGCAGGGGGGGCTGAGAGCCAGGACTCCTGGTTCTCTCCCCGACTCTGGGAGGGGATGGGGGTTAGTGGTTAGAGCAGCCGGCTGGCTGGCGGGCGGGGCTGGGAGGCAGGACTCCTGGGCTTCTCTTCCCGGCTCTGGGAGGGGATGGGGGCTAGTGGTTAGAGCAGCCGGCCGGTCACTTGGCCGGCGGGCAGGCGGTGGGGGCTGGGAGCCAGGACTCCTGGGTTCTCTCCCCGGCTCTGGGAGGGGAGTGGGGGGGAGTCACTCACCAGAAGAGGGTGGCGTCGAGGTAGCAGGAGTTGCAATGACCCTGGATCCCCTTCTTCCAGCCCGTCAGGCGCTGACCCCCCTCTTCACCCAGCCCCGGGGGGGTGTCCTCCGGCACCCGCTCGCTGGCGTAGACCCTGAAATCTGGGGGAGGGGAGGCAGACCTGGAGTGGGATCTCTATCACTATCCTGCCCCTCCCATCCCATCCCTACAGGGAGACACCCCCCCAGCTCTGACCCCATGCCCCTGGGGCATTGTCCCCCATCCCCCCTCAAATGGCCCCCACCCTTACCCTTTGGCTCCCGTCTCTCCCCTCACAGGCCCCAAGGGTCCTACCCAGTGAGTTGCAGCGCAGCACGGGGTTCTCGGGGGGCTGGGGCACCCCAAAGCGGGCATCGGGCCGACAGTGGCGTTTCTTGACGAAGAGGGCCTTGCCAGGCGGGCACTGGAAGTACCGCATCCCTCGGTAGATCCCGTCCGTGCAGCCTGAGGGCATCGGCTCCTCCTGGAGAGAGGGGCAGGGACTGTGTCAAGAGGGCCGGGGTCTCACAGCCCCCCATGGGATGACCCCAGAAGGGAGGCAGCTGGGGGGCCCTATAGCCCTCCCATGGATTGACCCCACTAAAGATGGGCTGGGAGTCCCATACCCTGCCCCATGGGGGTGACCCCACTCAGGACAGGGTTGGGGTCCCATAAACCCCGTGTCTGTCCCCCCCAGATGTCTGCCATTGTCTCACCAGCTCCAGCCCTGCAATGGTCTCCCCCACATCCGGCAGCTCCCCAATCCAGCGGATCACCCCGTAGATTGGGGGGTCGTGCACCTCCACCATAGAGTTGATTTCCAGCAGGGATGAAGCCAGCTCCTCCTCCCCTCCTTCCTCCTCCTCCCCTTCCCCCCGCTCCTCGGTGCCCCCTGTCAACAGGGAGGAGGGGGAGCTATGAGGGGACCCCCATTCCGGTCTAGGGGGGTATCGAATGGAGGAGGGGGACGGGGAGTCATCGAGGAGCCCTAGGGAGGGGTCATCACTCAAGGCCTTGGGGCCTTCATCAGCCTTTTCTGTAGGGAAAGGAACCAAAACAACATGGCAGACATTAAGCAGATGGGGCCTGTTGGGTGGCAATCTTGGCTGTCAGGCATAGACCACCACTGGGGAGGCCAGCTTGGCCAGTGATCGCTGACCAGCACTGCGGTGACCATCTTGGCCAACAGGCATTGACCGCTACTGGGGTGGCCATTTTGGCTGGCAGAAAGTGATCGCCATTGGGGTGGCCATCTTGGACAGCTAGTCGGAGGGTCTGGAAGGGATGTCATTATGTCCCATTGCATTGCTGGGAGAAAGGCCATGAGGGCAGCCATCTTGTTGGCTGAGAAAGGCTGTTGTATCTCGGCGACCGCATGGCATGGGCAGGGCCAATGCCCTGTGCAATGAAGCCGAGCCCAGAGGGCTTCCTGCCCCTGCTGTTTACTGTAGGTCCTACCTTTATGTACTTTGGCGATTGGCAGGAGGATCCCGTACTGTGGAGAGGGGAAGTGGCAGAGCAATTGGTCTTTGAATTTGCCATCCCATGAGCCAACGGGCTGATCCTGGAAAATAAAAGGGTTCAGGAAAGGGGTCCCCAATTATGATCCTCTCAATAATGATCTTGCTGTCTGGCCCCACCCTAGAAGTTGGGGGTCAACGCCCTCTCACCAGGCAGATCCCCACGAAGACCCCAGTCGTCTTCTTCTTGGGCAGATAGTCGCAGAAAACCACAGTGCCTGTGGGGGTGCTGTCATCCATCTTGAAGAAGACCCGATCGCCGACCTCCAGGGGTGGAGAAGATTTGAGGGGGTCCCCTGCGGCCAGCTGGAGCCTGGTGTATGCCCGGCGGCTGCCCCGGGGAGCCATCAGGGGGCTGCACTCAGACCCCTCCTCTGGCTCAATCCGGCTCACAGGCACAAAAACCCCGCAGTTCTCCCGGCATGAGAAGAACTTCTGGCCTCTGAAGGAGCCGTCGGTGAAACCCTTCCCAGCCGCTGATCCCTGGAGAGGAACAGAATAGGGGGGTTGTCATGGATGCCTGATACAGTCCCGCACCGTGAGGCCAGATCGGAGTTGGTGCCCCCTAGAAGGGAAAGGCCCCATGTCCTATTCCCTGCCCCCTGAGCCAGACAGTTCCAGATTGGAGCTGTTGCGCCCTAGAGAGGAAGGCGCCGTGTCCTATCCCCTGCCCCCTTTAGCCCACCAGGCCCGGATCGGAGCTGGTGCCCCCTAGAGGGGTAAGACCTCATGTTCCATTCCCCCCGGTCTAGCCAGTCCTTGATTGGAGCTGGCGCCCCCTAGAGGCTCCCCCCTCACTCACCACCAGTTCCACCCCGAAGATGACTCCAGCCTGCTCCTTGCTGTCTCCCATGGGTCCCCGGTAGCGCAGGACACCCCGGACCTTCTCCCCAGAGGCCGAGGTGATCTGGACACGGACTCGGTCCCCCGGGCGCAGGGCCCCCCGCCTGCCCAGCAGCCCCTCCTGTCTGAAGAGCTCCAGTCGCTCATCCCCGTTGGTCACGGCCTGCAACATCCCGGCTTGCTCTTTGCTCAGCTCCCGCGCAGCCTGGGCCGGCACCTGCACCATGGCCTCCGTGTCCAGCAGCTTGGCCCAGAAGGAGCAGTCCGGGGAGGGGGGCTCACCCGCCTGGCTCAGGAGGCTGCCCCGGGGCACCTGCCCCCCACCTCCCCCAGAGAAATCCTGCACCAAGATGAAGAACCGGCGCGGCCGCATGGTGTTGGGGGGGTGAGTCCTGGAGGGGGAAGACAGGAGATCAGAGAGGGGCTGCCTGGGGGATGAGTGGGGGGGGGG